CAGCCGGCGGCGGCAGCCCCCCCGGCGCAGCCCTTCCCACCTGCTTCTAGTTGCTCCAGCATCGAGATCATGAGCCATTGCAATGCCAGATGACGTCTCTTACTGACGGTTTCCAGTGAATAATCCTAAATCTTCAGGCTTAGGCTTCTGAGCCGAAGCGGCAGTAAGAGATGCCAGCATTGTGCACTCCATCGTGATGCCGTAGAGATTCCTTGCTTTAAACCTGATTTTCTATTGAGAAAATAATAGTTACCTATTTGAACTCTGTGTTTTAAGTACACGTGTCAGTGAGTGGTGAAGCCTGGGGTTTGGGATAGAGAATTATTTTGATGTGGGGGCAGCGAGGTCAGCCCTTCCCCGGCAATTCGGGTGTACAGCAGATAACCATCAGGCTGGAGATGCCCAACTGGGGGGGGATAAGAAAACAAAAAGGTGAAAGATTTCCCTCTGCTGCGTATGCATGAAACTCTTTCAGTTTTGTATTTTGGAAGGCTCTTTGCAAAATGAAGTGTTACCCCTACCGTGGGATTAAAAGGGATGTAAAGAGGAACTACATCTGCTTTTCCCGTCTGAAATATTTTTTCAGGACTTACCCCTTGCTGTGGAAGGAGGTGTATAAATATTGCTAAAGATGCTGCTCTGCCTGCAGATGTCTTCACCAGCGCTGCTGGGGGGCTGCTGAGCCAGCAGGATTGGGATCACGATGTTGTGATATCTGTTGGGAGTGTTGTGGCTGGTTTGGTGAATTCTGCGTTGATTCTGGCAAGTTTGGACCTGAATGTCTTGGTGCTGAGCGGGGTCCAGCAGCTGGAGTGGGTGGCTCCCGCGCGTCTCCTGCTCGGCTGCCCAGGCAGCTGCTCTGCCCCTGGCTTCCCAGAGCAACGGCTTCGCAGACAGCTTTGCAAAATAATAAAAGAAGCATTCCCTTTCACAAAGATTTTTATCTGGGGATGCTTCAGTGAACAAAACTTTTGTGTTCTTCTTTGTCTTAGCCGTAAGATCCACGTGCAAGGTATTTAACTGTGCAATTTCCCAGCAGCTGTGGACATCACGGGCTGGCTGCTCGGCGCTTCGTGCTGCTGGGGGCTTTGCTTTTGCCAGGACCACCTGGCTTCGGTGGCTTCTAAAAAGGATTTTTTTCTTAATTAAAAAAAAAAAATCCTATTAACAGCCCGCCGAAATGGAAGTGAAGGCTTCAGATCCCGGGTTCTGATCTGGCCTTTATTCATTTCCCTACGGGCAGAGCTCCCGCTGTGAGCAGCGCTGCCGGGATTTACAGCCCAGCTCCGGGTCTCTGCTGCCCTGAGCTCAGGCGGGTTCCAGGAGCCGTCTGATCTGTGATGCAAATTACCAACAATTAAATTTTTTGCTAACTGTGTGCAGAGCTC